AAATATTCAATTTATAAGTTCTGTCACTTAAATGGATATGGGTACATAGTCAATACTGGTAAATTATATCTAAGAATAATGCACAGGTTATAAACGACATAGTTACTTTGACAATATGAAAATTAATATAACTGAATGAAATGTAAATATTAACAAAACAGTCTAAACATGTTTTTATGTGACTGGTTTGTTCTTCATTTTTGTTCTTTTAACGAAATGAAGCATGGTTTGACTTTTTTTATATTCCTTAAAAAAAAAAACATAAAAAAATAATTATATTACTGATAGTCACAAATGTTTTAGTTAGCATGTAGCGCCAATATTGTTTAATATTCACTTTATTATTCATATAATTCAAATCCTGTGTTTCGTAAAGTATAAAAGTTACAGTAAGTTAGCCGTGAAGTTTTTATTGAAAAGTGTGTAAATAAAGGTTACGACATATGTGACAAAGTTTGCATACATGTAAAGAAACGAAAGCTACTTAAAGAAAGTAGAAAGATATTTGTTACCGTTGCATTCTATCACTTTATTTAGCAATTAAACGGCCAAGAAAGCCCAACACGGCAGAATTGAAAATGTTGCAGGCTCGGTTTGATTGAGCCTGTTCATGGACGGTACTGAAAAGTGCAAACTACAGTCTACGCCCCCTAGCACCTTTACATTCATTGAGGATTTGTATTTAATAACAAATAAGTACCTTAAAATATTCATACCGTTTTCATTTACCATCTGTTCTTTTAATTAATTTAAATTCATTAGTTTATATATATATGTGTTTTTATATCATATGTTTCAGAAGTAAAAGATGGCCTCTTTTGAATTCTACAAAACAAGACACAGTAAAATTTTCCTGTTCGCCTCTTTTTGATGAAAAAGACACTCCGTTGGCTTCTTTCTATATCAGACCGGAACTGAGCTCAATAGTCTCAAAATCGACGAGAAATGATGAAAATATACCAGTTAAATCATTATCGGAGTTGTTCAAAACTAAAACTATAGAAAATCGAGAAATATATGTACTTGCTGATGCAGGACTCGGAAAAAACCGCATTTTCAAAGTATTTGGCTAACGTGTGGTGTCAAGCTCATTGCCCGGATGAAGACTTAAATGAACTTTTGTTTAAAGGATGATGTAGACTGTATGCAAGAATTTGATTTCTTATTCCTAGTTTTTGCGAGATTCGGACGATTTGTGCTCTATAGATGAGCTCATATTTGAAAAAGATTGTTTCAAATTTGGGTCTTGAAGAAACGCTTTCCAAAGATATCCTGCTTAAAATTTTAAAGATTGAGAAAATGCTTAATCATACTTGATGGACTGGATGAATGGACTCACCCCGAAAAGAAATGTTACAGATCGCCCCGATCGATCCCCTCACAGGAATGACCAAAAAACAGTGCTACAATACTGACCACTACGAGACCATGGAAAATTAGGGAGTTTTGAAATCTTAATTCATGCCAAATAGGAAAAACGTTTATAGAAATTACACAATTTAAGTAACGACTCGGTCGTCATGCTTATAAGACGGATATTACAAAGATTTGAAATCTCACAAGAATAAGGACTTATTAGACAGTGACGTCAGACAGTTCATACAAACAATCAATAGGAGACAAATCGCCCAGCTTGCTTTTGTGCCTCTTCTTTTAATATATACTTAATTTGTTTATGGTGTGACGGTATTCAAATAGGAAATTCAAAATGTGATCTGTATATAAATATAGTCGAGCTTCTTTTTTCGCGTGCGCGATTCTGGTCCACGGGGAGGTTCAGCAATCGTGGGAACTTTCTTCAATTGACATCCCAGAATGCTTAGCTAATTATGATAATTGTAAAGAAATACTACCCACTCCTAATGCATTTAGGACAGTTAGCTTACAAAAACATTATTCAATGAAACAAAAGAAAAACACGCTAGTATTTGATGGATCAATTGGCTAGAAAGAATCTCATACCAGACGAGATTAAATTCGCCCTTCACTCAGGAATGTTGTCAGAAAAGTACATCTAAATCACTAACAAAAAAGTTTAGTAAAGTATCGTTTCCCACAAGACCGTTCAGGAATTCTTTGCCGCCATATTTGTAAGTTTTCACAGTGAACCTCAGCAAACTGTTGTAGGAAAATGTATTAAATGTTCAAGACATTCTGGACATGTCAAAAATTTTGTGAATTTATAAGTAAAATGAATGCTGTCCTGATGTGTGCAATATCAAATGATTTGATGTCTGTGATAAATGAAGACGAGGAAAAACACGCGACTATAGAACTAGGATAGGTGCCATGACTTTCTTGTGCAATACTCCATTGTATAACATACAGGAAATGTTCATGTCGTGTTTACAAGAAATGCCTGAAAGTGAAAATATTCAATTATGTTTACAAGATTTCTTCATTGACGAGGACACCGTACACAGTGAGCAGTTTACAACGTTTGTTAAAACAAAATAAAACCAACATAAAATCACTTTATTTAAACATCAAAAGAACTTCCAGCAGTTTACGTGAAATTGTAGATTTGTTTTCTCTCTCACAGATCTCAGTCATATACAGAAACTTTTCTATGATGGTGACCGGAGAAGGAAGCTTGGATAAACCGCATGTTGTTTCCAAGTTTACAGGTTTGTACTTTTGGTGTCTGGTAAATGGACATATTGATGAAGACAATCTAAGTGAAAACATTAGCGCGATGCCAAAACTTACAATACTTATATATTGACCTCTTTCATGTTATCTCACAAATACTGGAAACAGTTTTTTCAAATTTTATCTCCGGGTCAAAAATCAATGAAAGAGTTAAAATTGGTGTGTTTAAAATGTAAAGAACATGGCGACCACGATTGTATGAGATGGAACTTGAATTTGTCTCTTACATTCAACTCTATCAAAGTTGTACTTGGAGACGTTACCTGCGAGGCTACAATTAAATATATCAACACCGTCATTAGTTAATGTTAGGTTGTGGAATATCAATTTGATGAAAGTTCATTGTTACTGTCACGTGACATGTTGAATATTGAAAGTTTGGAGTTGAAGTATATTGAAATGTCTGCAGGAAATTTACATAACTTGAAACTACCGTGCTGGAAAATCTGCCGCAGTCAGTTTCAGTAGAAATGTACGGCATTACACCGCAAGCTGAATATGAACGTTTTTAGAAACAATATTCGGAGTTCACAAACTTTCCATGTGACAGTAAGACAGCAGGTCAATGCATTTGAAACCAGACCGGCAAGTGGTACTTTGAGTTTAACACAATAAAACCAAGCAAAGTATAGAAAAGAACAAACGTTGTAAATATATTGAAGAGATTACTTCAATTATTTTAAAATGATTAAAACTATTTAAATATGGACACATAGAAAAAAAACGGCGGCTCTTTCAAACTTCAGTTCAATTTTCATTCAGGACAAACATGTACTCCCGTTTACAATTAATACATTAAGTGATTTAAGATTAAAAAACCCTGATAATTCAGGGACGTTTTTAACAAGTTTTAGGGAACTCAATGGGATACAAAAAGTTGATTATGATATGGATATGTTTCACAGGTAAGTGATTTTATATTGTATTTTTTTTTAATTATATTATTACACATGCATAGGTTTTAGAACTGAAATAGATTATTCACAGTGAACACAACTCTCTTATTTACTTTTAATGAATAATATATTTGATATAAATAAATAAACATTAATTAATATTTTACATGATTTGTTTTTTTTTTATCTATTCTGGAATTAAAATTATTTTTGTAATGTGAATGAAGCATTTTATAAACATAGACTATAAAAAGATTCACAATACATGGCACGTTTTTTTTTTAAAATGGCAGTCACCACCTTTACATTTAACCTACGTCGGACCAGCGCATACATGTATATAGTTTATAAATGTGCGTAGAAATTTTTTTATGTAGATTAAAGTGAATCTATTTTTAAACTTTTTTATAACTTAGAAAAATCATATAGATGTTGTTTATTTTTGTTAAATTAAATTTAAAAATTTGAAAATCAAAAAAAAAAGTTTTTTTTAATTATTCAGGATTTTTTTGTAATGTGATGCCTGTACCAGATTTACTTAGAAAAAAGCATTATTTGACTAAAATTTGGAATTTCTATTATGCATTTGGTCATTTACAAAATAGATTAGTCATCATGAAAAAAAGACAGCTTACAGTTTCAACTTTTCAAGGTATAACTATTGGGAATATGTTGTAAGAGACATATCTTGGCTTTGTGGGAATTTTGAAAAGCCATCTTGGGAATTTAAACATTTGAAATTGGGAATTTTAATGTCTATTTTCTATTTTTTGGAACAGTACCGTTTTAGGTAAGTAGTTATATAATGAAAAAAAACACACTGTAATTAATTCTTACTTCCGAAAAAAGGTGTTTTATTATTGTTTAAGTAAGATATTTTTGTTATGTCATATATTTAAGGTACATATTTGTAATTTTATGATAAAGTCTACTTAATCTTTACTTGTGAACCAAGCGTGATTGAATTATAAGAGCTCCGGGGTCTAAATTTGGCCTCCCAAGAAGGTCAGTGTGTCAGTGTTTTTATTTGTTAACGAAAATAACTATAAATGTCTTTCTTTAAAAACACAAGGGATAATGCTACACATTTGGTATGAAACATGATATAGTGTACCCCTACCAATTTTACTTAAGCATAGCCCTGGCGTAAAAAGGCTGCAGCTCCATGGGGGATTAGGTAATAGGTCATAGGTTTTTCCATATAACTTGCAATACAAACTAGTGACTTCCATACCAATCATTGAATTTCTTTTGCAACCTGTAATTTCCATAGTTATCCCTTTGTAAAGTTACCAGTGGCTTTCATGGCAACCATTGACTTTGCATATCCTCAATAGCATACAACAAGATACCTTTTGACTTTTCATAGCATCCATAGTTTTTCCATAGCAACCCTATGACTTCCACAGCAAGTATTTACTTTTGACTTAGCAACCAGTGACTGGCAAAGCAACCATTGAATCTGTGCACTATTTCAGATGCAGAAATATACTTTGTAATCTTATCAGTTTAAGATTTTTTTCTGCTTTTCTTTCATAATTTACAACATAAATTAACTGTTCTTGTCATTATGAGTCTTTATGATCATAAAAAAAACTGAGCGATATAAGAGCAATCATGGACTTTAACTACATGTAAATATTAAAAAAGTAAGATCATGTTTTGCATAAATCCCCCATTAATGCTATAATTTGCGTTTATTATCATTTCAGCGGCATTGAATTATTTATGATGCAGAACCTCTTGTGACGGTTGCCATTATAAATTTGTGTGGTGATAGATCAATTTTATTGGGATGATGGGATATGCTTTGAACAACTTCTTAGGAAACAGTAGCTTCATGTTTCTTGCATGTCAAGGTAAGTTTATTGGCAGGTGAATTAAATTCAAAATAAAGATTAAAGAGTAAAATCGGAAATGATCTCCATGAAAGTATACAAAATGTGCTAATTCTCGAATGAACGTTTAAGATAATTTTCTTGAAAATCTATTCAACTTTATCCGGGTCCCGCAAGCAAAGTATGTTCAGTACATCTGCAAAAATGTAATAAAGTAAAGGTCATAAGTTGTTTAAGAAAGATAGTTTATGGCAAATGCACGTAAAAGAAAGTGATTAAAAGTGTTCGTATTTTTTGCAAAAAAAAAAACCAACAACAATAGCCTGGATCGCAGTATCTAAGACGTGTTGAACGTGTCCTATATGCCTGCATTGAATTTTTATAGTAAACTAACTATTGTGGGAAGCCGAAAAATTTCACGTAAACAGCGCGATTGTGTTTAAAGTAGTGCACCTTTAATGGACATTATTTCAAACGTATCTATAATATGATACAAATAAGTCCGGCTTTGCAAGCTATAAATTATTATAATGAATATGATTGAATTTCTTGCTTTAAATATGTGCTTCTAACATGTTTATAATTTATTTTTTTAAAGATATTGAAAAATGTTATTTACTGACTTTTGTAATAAATTTAAGTACCAAAACAAAAGAAAAAATATAAACATTTTCTTTAAGTATCAGTATTGATTCATGTCAACAAAGATGTTCAAAATATAATAAATGACTCTAAGGGTTTAACTCAATACAGGTTTGGAGTAGTACCTCTAGAAGCTTGCAGAAATTGTGATCACAAAATAGGCAAATATATTTTTTCGCCGATTCTTACATCTTTTTTTATTCATTATCATACTTAAAAATGTATGAAAAGATGAATTAGAGGTTTTAAAGTTCATCTTTTGCATGAAACGGCAAGATTTTGGCATTCAATCGCATTGTCCGGTATATACTGGAATACCGTTTTTAGTGTGGTCCTTCACAGTTTAAATAGGCAATTTTTAATGTTAAAAGAAATATTATTAAATATTTTTTTTGGCACAAAATGCACACGAATTAATTGGGACAAGGGGTAAATTGTAAATGATGAATGTGGTTAAATTTCAACGTTAGTTAATCTTGGGTTATGTTTCAGATGCATTTAGGGATGAAAAAACAAATATTAAAATAGAAAGTAACAGAATCCCCCTAAAGAAAAAAGTCCAGAACAAACAAAATGAAATGTTTGCTGGCTCGGTTTGATTGAGCCTGTTCATGGACGGTACTGAAAAGTGCAAGTTACCGTCCACGCCCCCTAGCACCGGCTTGAGCAGAATTCAACATTTAACACGAAAATGGTGAAATTTGAAAAAAGCGGCTTATGTACAGGTTAAAGGCAGCCGTGCGACCTATTTAATTTTGTAACTACGTACTAATGAATTTAGTACTCAGTGTTTTAAATTCTTTTTCTAAGCAGTGGATTTACTAAACTGATAAACAGTTAAGTAAATGTGTTACGATTCATTTGAAATACTGCAATTCTATTGTGCAAAAAAATAGTTTCAAACACTAATGATTTTTGGAAGCCAGAACTTTAATTCATTTATTTATTTATTTATTTTAGTTCATTTTATTTTTGAAAATCGGTTTATTAAATTCAGCGTTGTCATATTATTTGCGAAACATTGGTTGTTCTACCTATTAAGATAAATCGGATGTCTTCTCGAATCTAAATCATTCGAATGTCCGCACGTACATACCCAGATATTTGTTTCAGTTCGCAGAAGGTATGTTTGTTTGCTCTAGAAATCTAGATCGTGCCAAAATCTTAATACAAGATATCCAGTGTCTGTTTATCTACTGTACCAACAGCAAACCAGAAGATAAAACGTCGATGTTACTTTGAAAATATAAAACTAGTGCTAGAATAAAATCGTGCTATCTATACGGTTACAAAATGTTTTGACTAACCCATTTATCATTTTTTTATTCTCTTTTCAGAATATAAGCTTCAGTAAAATTACAGTGACAATGATGACAACGCTTCTACGAGAATTAAATTTAAAGACTTGACACCTGGTTCCTGGCATTACAGAAACACGAAAGAAAATTGCTCTAAATTTGTTTTGTATAATCTTCTGATTCATAGATCAACCGGAAACAGATTAGCAAATTTTGTATGGTTATACTATTTACTTTTTTCTTTAATGGGAATTTACGTGCACACAATTTTACCACCAAGGCTGCTGTCAAATATATTCCTGAGTTACTTCAAAATAGGTTTTGTGAATTACAGTCATAACGTAGAAAACATAATACAGAATTCATGGTGAAAACCTGTTTTGATTTAAGAAAATCTTATTGAATTAATTTTATTGTTTTATCCAATATGGGACATAAAGTATAGAGGGATAAGCAGAACGACTGGTTAAACTATCTTATGTTGGCGTCCAATTGACAGTCGATCCCCAATAGAGTTTAAATGCAATTGTAAAACAATACATTGACAAAATATTGTAAAGATCATTAAGATACTAAAAGTCGCTAAAATATTTCCCCATTTGCTTATGCTTTTCATATTTACACTAATTACAACGGACAAAAGTATATTCACAACTATCAAAAAGGCAAAATGGCGACTGTTTGGTCGGAAAGATAACGTACATGTAGTGCTAGTCTAAAGTTGCTTGTCCCATTATATTTTGTCCAAGATTCAATGAAAACGGATGTTACATATATACTGTATTATAAGATTTATAATCATTTTATTTTATTAGATATGCATGTATAAATTTCTTAAGCAATATTAGAGTAAAATGATATAAAAAGAATCATTAGACTTAAGCTATGCATGTATAAATTCTTTAGCAATTCAAGATTGAAATGGCACAACAAGAATTATTTGACAAAAACTAATTTATCATTAAGACTATTGTTAAATCTGACGAAGCAAATACTAATAGTCTTATAATTACATGTAATGAATTTTTGTAATTTAGTTTGATATTTTTTTACTTTTTACTTTTATATTTTTGTACAAATTAATTGAAATTGTAACATTAAGAAACTTTGAAAGGATGCTTCCAAAAGAAAATTTTATAAATTTGTACATGTTATAGTTTGCTTTTTTATGATATCTCAAATGATTTTTCAAATTTATATTATTGTACATAATATAGATGTTAATTAATTGTATTATAACTTATAACGAGTTTGCCATGTTACACTCGAGTAGTGTCCCTGGTTATACATTTACAACTTTTTATATAGGGCATATTACCTGTCAAAACTCTTTATAACTTGGTACATTTTGTAAATGACCCTTCACAATCTCCTTATGAGATCCTTGCATTCAATGAAAAACAAATCATCATTTATTTTGCTTAGTTGTGTTTATCAGTAGAAGGTTTGTTTGTATTCATTAAAAGCCCATTAAGCTCCAAAGAGCTAATTTCTCAAAAACTTTTCATTTTTGCCGTCACTTTTGGCCATTAATAGGTTTACTACATTTTGTTTTTGTTCAATTACATTTATGTAGTATTTTGTATGGAATTCAACAAAACTATTGTGTTACCATTTTGCTTCCTTACAATACGTAACTCTACATTCAACTTTTATGTCTTATGTTGTTTAATTTCTAAGATGGACTAGAGCGCTACTCTAAATCCATTTTTTATGTTTCTACAGTATGTTTGACAATAGAAGGTTATAATGTATATCTTAAATACAAAAAGTGAACATACTTATAATTGACTTGCAAAGCTATGTTCTAGTCAGATTTGACATATTTTGATCAAGTAGATTCATGTGTATATAGCTATTCATGTATGTATTGTTTTTTTGAATTACTTAATATTCCATCTTCTTTGTAAAGCATGATTTTAAACTTGCATTCAGGGAACAAAAAACATAAGAAAAAAGTGTATATGTTCGTTTACTATGTATATGTTATAAAAGTGTCAATATTACATAAAAAAACATTGAGAAAGATTAGACGTTAAAACGTTACTAAGACGTCATTTCTTTTCTCACAGATTGATATTCAAGGTTTTTTTTTTTTTTTTTTTTTTTTTTTTTTTAATTGTATGTTTTCTCTGAGGAAGGTAAAGGCATAGAGTTTAAATGTCAATAGTTTTAGTGTTCATTTTAAAGCTTAAGGCTTAATGTTTAGATATTGTGTGTGTATCATTGTCAAGTTGACTACTTACCAGTATTCCCAAAAGCATTTGGGAGATCAAGGACCATTATGCACTCTTGTAATTTGTTTCAGAAATTTTTGTATATGTGTATATAGTTTTCTTGATACAAATTTATATGATTTACAAATATTGTTGTTTTTTTTTTGTTTTAAGAATGTACAGAAATACAAATAAATTATAAAGAATGTGTATACATGAATCAGCGTCTCCCTCCGGTTGGCTTGTCAGTAGTCCGAACAGTATATGAAAAGTACAGGCGGTATAACATTCAATATTAATGGATAAACTATTACCCCTTTTATGATTTAAGAGATTTTGCACATTTGTACTTATGTTCTTCCCCGGAGCTTTACTACAAATGTATTGTCTGCATCAGGATTCAACTCTATAGATAAACATTGAATGCACTCCTGAAGAACTATAACTATTGTTTGCATACTTTTTGTGTCTCCTTGTATATTCCGTTTTGTAAACATAATAGTTCGAGGTATAACTGAGATAGTTTAGTTTTATAGATGAATATACCTTATTGGGCTAAAGATCAGTGCTCTTTAATCATTACTCGCGCATGCATTAGTTTGGAGTTATTGCCCTACATTCTGTTTCATATTTTATTTTGTTCGGGGCAAAAAGTTTTTAAAAAGTAGCATATCTGAAGTTCATAACTTTCTCAGCTAAGTCATATATAAAATGCAGTGATTATGAACAAAATTGTCTTAAAATTTATTTTAAATGATAGTCATTTGAAAACTATTTTGCTTAATTTTAGTTCAGAGCCATAGAGGAATGTTACGTTTCCGAAGTACCAATAGTCTATGTTGCAAAATTTTGGAATTATTGCCTTTTTGTCTATTTCATGTCTATTCTACATGAAAATATTTGGTTATACATATCGAAACAAAATGTTGAAAAATATGCAGGAAATAACAACAATAACTCTATGATACATAATTTTGGAGTTCTTACCTTAACTATAAGTCGATGTGATGTATGAATATGAAATCTCATTATACCCTCTTGGTAAAACGATATGTAGGGGTATTTGCACCCGGACAAGGTGGGTCAAGTTTGAAATTATGAAACTGATGATAGAGTTATTATTATCATAATAAATGTTATTGTTTTGCTTGGTAAATTGAAGATGATTTTGTACTAAAGTTGATAATGTGATATTGAGCTGTTAACCAGTGTGAAATTAACAATATAACCATGTGCATGTGATTTTATTGAACAAATTATATATTATGCTATATTCATTTGTTTGCTGCCAAGTTATGTTTAATTGTATTTGTTTCAACGTGTAATGGTGATTGCCTAATACTTGATGATAATGAAAATGGCTCGTATAAAATATAAAAGCAAACTTATTATTAAAATACTGACCACTCGTTTTGAACATTCATCTTTACCGATACATTTATTCCGAACAATACTTATGAAAATGTCTGTGGGTCAGATGAATTAATTATTATTTTTGCTTAGTGAAATATTATTTTAACACACATATGGCAACACGTAATGTATTTCACCTGTACATTCACCATTTACACTTGAATTGACATAATGTCATTTTAATTTGAAAATACATGCATTTAAGATGTGATCATTTTTAGTTCCATTTTAGAAAAGAAAAAAAATGATAGAACTATAATCTTTACACATTACAGTATAAAGCGATAACTCTGTGTATTTGTTTTTGTAGTTATAAAGATGATACTGTAAATACTGAGTTTAATATGTTTTGATATGTTCATAGCATTTTTTATTAGATTATGTTAATTTAAAAAATGCTATACAATATCATAGTTCATGTATAAAATAATAAATAATGAAATTGACCAGCATTGATTTGGTATTAGTTATTATATAGTAAATTTGTTACGAGGGTAGAAACCTTTAGGGACTGCAGATTTAGCCAATCTTGCGGAGTCTGAGATCTCATGAAGATATAATCACAATGTGGTACAAGTACTGATTAGTTCAGGAAATTGAGTTCTTAGATTGAATTCTAAAGTGTTTGCACAATTGAACTTATTTGTACTTTAATAAAGAAGTACATGTGTTGTACGGAACAAAAATATAAAGATGGCTTAATTATGAAGATTCAATAAACAAACCAGGACAGCAAGAAAAAAACATATGCTGTGACATAAAAAATTGAGCTTAATAGACAATCCTGGCCGCCTAATAATAGTACCTATAGTACCTAATAGTATTATAAAAGTACCAATATATTAGACGTAGAAAACCTGGTTACATTATAAAAGTACCTAGACAAAAAATGACCGTATTATAAAATGTACTAACATATAAAAAGAAGAAAACCTGGACGCATTACTAAAAACCTATCAATTTGAATAAGACAAGCTGCCCGCAATATGAAGATATTTAGATAAACGAATAATAGCAAGCACGTTAGCCGCATTATAAATTACCTAGACAACAAATGACCCTTAAAATAAAATAACCTAATGGTATATTCAAGAAAAAATAAATGCTAGCCAAAAAATAACAAGCTAGACGCATTATGAAAGTACATGACATAAAATTCAAGAAAATATCCAGACCGCATCATAAAAGAACCTAGGTATATATTCAAAACAGAAACTGAAGGTTTAATAAAGTATCTTTATCTAAGAAAAAACGCCCCGCAGTGTCAGGGTACCAATATATAAGAACCATCACAAACAATTGTCGAACTTTGAAAGAACCAATATATAAGTTAAAAAAACAAAAATTGTGCGTTTTATAAATAAATAATAATCAAAATAAATAAAATAAATAACCTTGTCGCAAAAAGATGGTTCCTACATATAAGAACAATAACAGACAGGCTTGTTCCTAGATATAAGAACCAGTACATAATTAACAAGCTGGTGGCATTATGATGAGCCTAGATTTGGTTTATACAGAATATATTTTAGTTCGATTGTGTAGGAAGCTATAAGCTTATAGACACTCTTTTGAATGCGTTCCTGGAACCAACCAGTACTGAGCAATGAGTGTTAAGTTTCTTGCTCAAGGAAACAACGACTTGCCCCTGACGGGGTTTGAACCTAGATTTAAGTTTGGTAACAAAAAAGATCGTTTTATCAAGGAACCTATACATACTTGAAGACAAATTAATACACTGGCCGCATAAGAACCTAGAAAAAAACAGTAAAAACCAAGCTATGCGCATTATGAAGGTACCTAGAGATAAAATTAAAAACAATATATATGAAAATGTCTAGATATATGGACCATGACAACCAACTGTTCGCTTAATGAAGGAACCTAGATATTAGTTTCATAACAAAAACTGACCATTTAAGGTATCTACATGTTATATATATAAATCAAAATAAATAAGTATACCGCATCATGTATTAAGATACCTAGATACAGTAAACACTCGCTGCAACCCTTGATGGAACTTCAAATCTGGTCTTAATAGCGGGTTGGTCTCATTAATGAGTTTGATCAGATAGAAAACCAGGCAAGACGTTTATATAAAAATTATAAAAAAACAAAACCCTGACGGTATTATTAAAGAACCTAGTTATAAAGACAATGACAAACACGCTGGTCGCATTATGAAAGAAAATTCATTTCCTTCAATAGCAGAAAATATCTCACGGAGAGCAAAAACGGTATAATTGGGACGATTTGTTTCCCCCCTGGCCGTCGTGGCCAATACTATTTCTATTTGTTTTTAAAAGAAAAAGAAACATCAGAAAAAATGTACATAAAATCTCTGTATAATTGCACTGTACATTCAAAAGATTTTTCAATAAATAGAAAAAGCAGTAATTTATTTTAAGCCCTAATGAGTAATTTCCCTTTCTGGAGAGATATCAGCATTAATTACGTGCTTTCACTGATAAGTTTAGTAAAGTGTGCACCCGACATAAAGAATCTTACACTTAATCTTCTAAATATGGCACAGTCTTGACGGATACAAAAAAAGAAAACGTCCAGGGACATGTCCTAGCATTCTTTAGCAGACTTTCAGACTACGGAAACCCCACCCCCGCCTGGTACATGCACATTATCCCGTGTTTCGATGATCTTTCTATTACATTATTCACTTTTTAGAGGGAATTACAAG